AATTATTATTAAACTGATAATAATGTATTCACTCAAATAAATACAACATATAATAAAATAAACATTAAGGTGCAGCATTTCGATGAACTGAAATAATCTGTATTTGAACTGTACTGTACTAGTACCTAAGCAGCCAGTTTGACATTAGGACTTGCTTGTCATTGTATTTTCATGTTTTTTTTAAAGAAAGATGAACTTGTCCACATTGCTTGCTGAAAGGGCAGATCTGCTGGCACTAACAATGTCTCCTGCTGTGGAGAACACCCTCTCTAGGGACAGAGGTAGCCGATACAGCCAGGTAGCGCTTTGCTAACATGGCAACATAAGGATATTTGGCGTTTGTAAGAGCTTTGACTCGGTCTGAACTTTTTGCGAGTGGTGGAGGCTTAAATGCTAGTGGGAGTTGGGTTTGCACTTCAGTCTTTTTTCAAAATGTTCCCAAACCGGAGACTTCAATGATGCTGGAGGATTTTCGATTTCAACTTTATCTGCGTTCGCCATTTCGAGAGTACCTGAAATTACTGACTACATATGAACGGTGAACGCATCCCTGTGACCAGCTCTCATAGTATGCCTCTCGTCCAATGAAATGACTTGGTTTCTCTATGACGCGATGAACCCAATGTGAGCAAATTACACTGAACGCTGCGACGCAGCACCTGAGATTACTTCCAAAATGTTGTTCACGTTCTCAATTTTGTACGTTTAACATTATATTCGTGTAACGAACCGAAGGGCCCATATCGAATGATTTCGGTACGAATACTGTTCTGACACCATAGTGCAGGGGTGGCCAACCCGCGGCTCTCGAGCCGCATGCGGCTCTTTGCCTAGTTTCATGCGGCTCTTCAGTTCATATCGAATTGTATATGTGTGAGTTTGGGGGAGAGACACTGACTCCTGACTAGTGTTGCACGGTGTTCCGATACTTGAAAGGTATACCGCGATACCCTGTCGTTAAAATCGTTACGATTCCTCCGTTTCATTAGTATCGGTACTTTAAGAATGACGGGGGAAAGTACTCCGGTGAGAAAGCGCTGTTTTAATAAGAGCCGTGTGTGTTCAGCGCTCTGCTTCCACTCCCTGCACTGCAGCCGTGCTTGCAGTCCCTCCCTCTCAAGCACGCTCTAAGTCCCTCCCCTCTCTCATGCACGCGCTAGCTGCCAGAGAATGTGAGAAAACGAGAAGCATGGCTGCAAGTGGGAGTGCAACTGCCGCTGCGCCTCGGCTTGTTGACAAAAAATATGCCAGAAGCTAAATTTGGAAGTATTTGAGCTATATCTCTGACAGTGAGGGCAAGCCTACGGACACCACGAGGCCTGTCTGTAAGAAATGTATTAATTTTATTTAATACGAATTCTTGTCATTTATTGTATTTACCAGGGGCGTCGCCTGGGGTAGGCATCCGGGGCTTTAGCCCCGGATGTTTTTTCTTTAGCCCCGGACAAATTCTCCCTCAATAATATAATACATTAACCTACTTTACCTATAGGACGGACGGCAGGTTTGTAATTTCCCATGTTCAGTGAATGCAACACAGAGGCAAGACGACGCCACCAGACCAATCAGAGAGTTGCATGGAAATAAACGTGTTTTATTGGCTGACAGGTACGTACCTCTCCTCTGTGACAATGTTTAAACTTTAAACTGTCAGCCCCGGACGCGGAGATTCTGAAGATGGACATTAGACATTTATTTAATAAAAAAGACGACAATTCTCAAGTGGTGGCTAACACAACAACCCCAGAGCCACCACCTGAGCCAGATGAACAAGGTATGTACCTGTCAGTAAACTTACAAGTTATGCGAACATGTAAGCAAAGCATAAATTATAGCTACGTTGACGTTACTTTGAATCGCGCGGGTAAGCTAAACCGTTAGCAAGTAGCTATAGCTAGCCAGATATATTAAATAAACACTTTGTCAAACAATCTAAATGTTGTGTTTTTTAGCGTTACTTGGTGATTTCAAAGAAAGCTCTCTGGGAAATGTTGACTTACTGTCTGTGTTCGACATGAAGCTAGAAGCTACCTTACAGTAAGTAGTACACAGTTGATCCTGATTCCTGAGTCCTGCCAGTTAAAGTGTTTCATAGTTAGCTTAGCTAAGCATCAACCTAGCACTGAAATATATATATGGATGTTATGTGACAGTATTTCTGAGAAAAAGTCAGCTGAAATGGTGGCATAGTTGCCACTGCTTTACGTGTCGACAGCATGTTTGAACGTATTTGCAGCAGTAAATGTGGCTGTTTGGCCACTGACGTTGCCATAACAACACCTGCATTTAAATGTGCAACCTCTTTTTGTGACAGATTTTGCATGAAAATATAATTCTTCTGATTGATATTTCCTATTGACAGCTAGTTTCTATGTGAACATTATGAGATGGACAGCCAGCTAACAAGCTTTTTATACAAATATTTCAGATCAAAGCCAATCCAGTGGGGCTCCTGAAAGGGAGCAAGGGACACTATGCTCCCAAATATTAAGCCTTGACCCGCATCTTAAAATTGATATGATCAAAACATGATCTGCATTGTCGGAGGCCTTTTTTCCTCATTATCATGTGAAATTGTACAGCTTTCCTTAGTGTTGAATGCAGAAAGATGACTATATTAGAGTATTAAGTGAAAATGACTATATTAAAGTTTTAAGTAAATATATTAAGTGAATTACTCAAACTGCATTTGTATAGGAATGATTCTGTCCTATTGGCAGATAACTACTCTAACAGTGATATCTACAAGAGATGTAAATGTAACTATTTTCAATTGGTTAGTATTACATTTTGTGACAGTGTGGTGACACTCATTTTAATGAAGACAAATGTGTGTATCTTGAAATTCATTTATTTGACAGAGCTGGAAACTGATACATACTTGTTTGTGTTTACCTACACAGTCATCACAGATGAGCCAAACAGAGTAGAGGATGAAGAAAGGAGAACAGGAGAAAGGGACACACAAGAAGGAGATACAACAGACAAGAACGACAATGGAGACAACAATGAACAGGAACACAAGAACAGACAAGAGTCAATGGGTAACATGACTGATTTAGGGACTGCAGATACAGGGCCAAGGCAAGTGAGACATCACTGCTTTCCATCCAGCATGTTTGGCCAGCAAAAGAGATCATTTCAACCGCAAACAGCAAGTGATGAGGGATTATTATTTCCTCCTTCCATCCCTTTTTTCTGTTTAATCTGATTACTAACAACTTCTAATAATTTATGTTAATAATAAGTGTTTTTAAATAATAAACCCGTTTCTGATTCTGATTCTGATTCTGAGATTTATTTTTGACATATGGGTGTTGAGAGATGTATCCATATCTCTTGATGTTGCTCTCAAAGTGCACAAGATTGATGCTTTTAACTTCAGTATTTAAAAAAAGTCTTCCTGGGGGACCCCAGAGGAGGTGAGTTCCCCCCCAAAATAGCACTTTATCTCTGCTTATGTAACTCCGGTGTAGTGTCCGCTCGTCAACAGATCACTCAGAGCTGATTACTTTCCTGCATTTCAATGGACAGCATATAAAAAGGACACGTGAGCTGCATTGCTTAAGAGATCCTCTCATGCTATCTCTTTTACAAAATAAGTGTCCAGTCAACAACAAAACATCAGTGATCGTATAGTGGTAGTATATTTTTCACAAGCAATGTGAAACATTAAACTTATACAAACTGGTGTACAAAACTCACATACCTGCGTTGATCTCCTGGAGTGTCTACTCTTTCTTCTCCACATCTCTTGTCCACCATCAGAGATTGCAAACATTTCAGAAACAGCTAGAGGTAGGGGACAAACAACTTGTTCGCTGGGCATGTCAAAAACCTCCTGCTTTGATCAAGACTTTAGGGAGCCTTCAGCCCCTCTAGCAAAGGGACTGGAAAGCAAGCTTTGAAAATGCAGTACCATCTACATGCTGTCATGTTCCAGACGCTGCTCTCAACCACTCAGGGCCTGCACAACTACCTGCAGAAAGAAACACTTGACTTGGTGCAGGCAATAGATTACAAAACAGCAGTTGAGAACACACTGAAAAGTTACCAAAGTAACGAGAAAGCACATCAGGTCTATGACAAGACCAAGGCCCTGTGCAATGATCTTGATATTCCCGAAACTGTGACACAGAGGAAGAAGCGTAGAAACATGGAAGACTTTGTAGTCAAGGCATCATGTGGAGCAACATTAAACATAAATAAACTGGTGTATAAAACTCGCATACCTGCATTTCAATGGACAGCATAAAAGGACTCTGAGCTGGGTTCTGGTGCTCAGATTAGCTATTGATGATCACGTTGATAAATCATATAAACAAATAGCCAATCACACTAAAAACATGTTGCTGTGACTGTGAGCATTAAACAATTAACATTAAACTAAACAAACACAACAGTACGTTATTGTCCTTATAAAATAAAAACATACATTTTGTCCACCGAGATAATACAGGCACCTTACTCTCAAGAGATCCTCACGTGCTATGAGAATCTCCCACAATCCATTGCCGTAACAAAGCTAATGCAGGCGCACGTTTGTGACACTAGATGGCGCAATTGTGTATGTGCGTGTGGGGAGTCTTGCAGTAGAACATTTGACTGTAGCGACAGGTCCAGGCGACGCCCCTGGTTCAAACCATTTGCTTTTTCTGATTATCTATCAAACATGTAATTGTGTAAATATTTTGTGAACAAATAGTCAAACTACAATATTGTTAGAGGTGGTCGGGGAAACATTTGGTGATGTTTAATATTCTCCATATCGCCCAGCCGTAGTCTAAACAACAGGATAAGGAAACATTAATTGCCGTTTAGCCATGGTAGCTATCTTGAACCTAGTAAGTCTTGAACGGTAACGGTTGCTCAAGCTTGGCTTAGTGCAAGTCAAAACAAAACACATACAACTCCAAATTGACTCTGTCCAATATCAATCCAATGTCTTTCTTTTTCTGTAACTGTATTTTAAAGAAACTGTTCTTCCTTCCACACTACAGGTGTAGATATGGCTGCAGTTAGTTGTACATCATCTGAAGATCAGTTCCTCTGCTCCATCTGTCTGGATGTGTTCACTGATCCAGTCACTTTACAATGTGGACACAACTTCTGTAAAGACTGCATCACTGAACACTGGGATAGAAGTGACAGGTGCCAGTGTCCCATGTGTAAAGAGGCTTTTACCACAAGACCAGATTTGAAAGTCAACACTTTCATCTCTGAGATGGTGGCTCAGTTCAGACAGTCGGCTCAACAGAAAGCCAGCAGCAGCAGCAGCAGCAGCAGCAGCAGCAGCAGCAGCAGCAGCTCAGAGCAACAAGTCTTCAAACCAGCAGAAGTTCCCTGTGACGTCTGCACTGAAACCAAACTGAAGGCCCTGAAGTCCTGCCTGGTGTGTCTGACCTCCTACTGTGAGACTCACCTGGAGCCTCATCTGACAATGTCAGGTCTGAAAAGACATCAGCTGATCGACCCTGTGGAGAACCTGGAAGACAGGATGTGTCCGAAGCACGATAAACCTCTGGAGCTGTTCTGTAAGACCGACCAGACATGTGTCTGCATGCTCTGCCATGTTTCAGACCACAAGATGCATGATGTGGTTCCTCTCAAAGAAGAATATGAAGGGAAGAAGGCTGAGCTTGAGACAGACATTCAGCAGATGATCCAGAAGAGACAACTGAAGATTGAGGAGATCAAACACTCAGTGGACCTCAGTAAGGAAGAAGCAGACAGAGAGATAGCAGAAGGAGTTCAGGTCTTCACTGCTCTGAAGGAGTCTGCTGAGAGAGGTCAGGCCAATCTCATCAACACGATCAAAGAGAAGCAGAAAACTACTGAAAACCAGGCGGAAGATTTCATCAAAGAGCTGGAACAGGAAATCTCTGACCTGAAGAAGAGAAGCTCTGAGGTGGAGCAGGTCACACACTCTGCAGACCACCTCCATCTTCTCCAAAGATTCATGTCCCTTAAAGTTGCTCCACCCACCAAGGACTGGACAGAGGTCAGCATCCATTCATCACATGAGGGGACTGTGGTGAGAGCTGTGGTTCAGCTGGAGGAGACACTCAGCCAAGAGATGAAGAAGCTGCTTGAAGCTGAACTGAAGAGGGTCCAGAAGTACGCAGTGGATGTGACTCTTGATCCTGATACAGCACATCCTAAACTCATTCTGTCTGATGATGGAAAACAAGTGAGTCTTGGTGATGTAAAGAAGAATCTACCAAACAACCCAGAGAGATTTTGTGATTGTATTCGTGTTTTAGGAAAGCAGAGTTTCTCTTCAGGCAGATTTTACTTTGAGGTTCAAGTTAAAGGAAAGACCAGATGGGATTTAGGAGTGGCCAGAGAGTCGATCAACAGGAAGAGAGGAGTCTCACTGAGCCCTGAGGGTGGTTACTGGACAACAAGTTTGAGAATTGGAAATGAGTACAAAGCTCTTGATGATCCTTCAGTCCTTCTCTCTCTGAAGTCTCGGCCTAAGAAGGTGGGGGTGTTTGTGGATTATGAGGAGGGTTTGGTCTCCTTTTATGACGTAGATGCTGCAGCTCTGATCTACTCCTTTACTGGCTGCTCCTTCACTGAGAAACTTTACCCATTCTTTGGTCCCTGTAATAATGATGGTGGTAAAAACTCTGCACCTCTGATCATCTCTCCTGTCAGAGTCAACTAATCACATCCTATTGCATGTATTGATTTATTCCCATTCAAGGTAATAAACAAACACATTTAGTATCAAAACTGTATAGATTTCATCTTATTTTCTACATAATCTGTTTACTGTGTGGATTTGTTCACACTAAATTGTTAAGATTTTTGATATTATGTATCCCATAGTCAACACTAAATTGATGCATCCATCTTTGTGGAGAATGAATATCCAGTCAATCCTCCGATGAAGCCACAAACATTATTTTTCACTTCAAGAATAAATCACCGTTTGTTATCAAATATGTCACATTTGAATGTTGCTAAATTACTCTAAAGTAAACATTTTGTTATTATTTGATGTGCAGCCAAAAAAAAACACATGTTGGAATATTTGTATATGTTTTACTATTTATATAATAATGTAATTAAGGCTACGCCCATTCCATGCCTTCAATATGTAGAGAACACAGTTTTTGTTATTGTTATTCTAGCATGTAACATTTTTAGACAAATGAAATTAAAGTATACATGCCAACATAATTTTCTTTTTTGTAGGAAAGGTGGTTTGGATAATTACTAATAACTTGGTGTATGTAATCTGTAAATATGTGACTGTTCAATCAAAACTGTAAAATAAACTACTTATTGAACATAAGGCTGGTTTACAGTTAAGTTGTTTATGACAAATGCATTGTGTTTCCTGTAAACCCTTCATCAACCCAGCACAGGGATGATGGACTCTGCCACCAAGAAGACTCATCTGTCTTCCTTTTTTCATTAAAACATTTCAAGAATTGTACCAATCATTAAAGGATATCAGACAAGGCAAATATTTGTTCATTTATACTGAGTTTCATTGGTTAAAAGGCAACACAATAACATGTGAAGTGTAAATCAAAGTAAGAATGGGTAGCGTTATATTATCTGAAACAAGCAAACATTTAAATGGTTCATTAATTAATGTGTGGTGAAACACAGTATTGCACGCTACACTCACTCTATACTACACCCGCATTGCGCTGTGTCAGGAACATGTCAAGGAAAGCCCGCCGGCCTTCCCTTCCGACCAATCAAATCATCGGAAGGGAAGGCCTGACGTGCCGTGCTTGACGCTGCATCTCACATACACAACTGCCGTAGCGACAAGAGGAAGATATGAAATCTCCCTTCTACAAAATATAATATTTGCAAGTATAGAGTAGTGGCTGATGTTTTTAGTCAGAAACAGCTCAACTGTAGTGTACACACATTACTAATAAATAACTTTAGTGCTGAGTTACTTATGTACACTGTAATGGCGCGTTTCCACTGCAGCGGGTAGCTCGCTTTAAGCGTGCCGAGCCGTGCGGGGCCCGTTTTTGGTTGCGTTTCCACTTGGCCTAGTTTTGGCCCGGGGCTACTTTTTCACCTTTTTTCTGGCCCGACTAAATCGTGGTTCTAGGGCCAGGAACAACCAGGCTGGGTCGGGCTGAGTGTGCTAAACTAGAGAGAGAATCGCTGGCAAGGGAGCTACAACTACAACAAGATGAACATATTTGACCGTGAATTAATTGTAATACACGTTTCAAAATGATGCCGAAGTAACAACATACTGATACCGGTTAGTAAAAACCATGAATTAATGCTTTGACAAGTCTGCAGACAGACGGCAGGCGAAAAACCCTTTTAAAATGCGTGTTTTCTAAATGTAGCTTGGCTAAGCTAACGTTATATACGCTCCGACCGTCCACACTCACAACAACGGCCTATACAGACATAAATAAACCAGCGACTGTATTCGCCATGACACAGGCAGTCTGTGGTTTGTACTTGTTTAACTTTTGTCAAGTTTCTGAACAGATATGAAGAGCTGTGAGCTCTGAGTGCTAAGAGCTAACGGCTGTGTTGTTTTTCTGGGGCTCTCATTGAAGATGACGTCACGGCTCCGCCTACACTGCGTTACTATAGTAACTGCCCCAGTTCCTAAACTGTAATGGAAACGCAGCATTAAAGTGAGCCGGGCCTAATAAGGCCTAACCAAACCGAGCGAGGCCGAGCGAGGCCTGCAGTGGAAACGCGCCATAAGAGACTGTATATTAACCAAGCGGCAAACTCAATAAGGAAGTGCCACAAAATGCCGATAGATGATTGGCCGATAGGCCAATAGATGGCAGAAAGGATCCATTTCAATAGACCCCCACGTTAAAATGCCCAACTTTATAGCAGAAATAAACATGTTTCTACCCCAGGATGCACTACAAATTATTCGGGATATAGTTAGATAGATTCCACCTTATGAATTGGTGAGTGAATTGTTTTATAACGCGACCAGACTCGTGCGGACTCAGAGCCGTAATTAGGGACACAAAAGTTCAAAAGGGTAAACCTCGCATTGTCATAAAGAGAGACACAAAACATTTTGTGGAGCAGGGTTTTGTACATGATTTGTTTGGTTTTGATTGGGAAAAAATGGATCTGTGTGCTGATGTTGAAACTGCATGGTCTTATTTGTATCTTGGTTCTATGGAAATTATAGATAGACATGCACCCCTGCGTACATTTAGAGTGAAGGGTCGAGACAATCCTTGGTTTTCTGCTGAACTGTCTAATCTCCTTCATGAGAGAAACAAGGCCTGGGCAAAGGTTAGGAAATCAGGCTTGGAGGTAGAATGGCTACGTTTTAGGCAGCTAAGGAATAGCTTCACATCACAAATAAAAAGTGCTAAATCAAAGTACTATCTGTCAGTAACCACAAAGAACCTGAATATTCCTGGAAAATGTTGGAAAGCCATAAAATCGATATCCACCGGTGAAATTCGTAATGAGCTACCTCCGTGCCTTACCACAGCATCTGGCACTATATCGGACAGGGCTATGTTAAAATGTTTTAATGAGCATTTTGTGTCCTGTGGCTCTCTGTTTGATTATGTCACTAACTCTGCTTCTGTGAACACCACAATCCGTGACTCTGAACATTGAGGTCTGGAAAACCCTTTCAGTTGTACTCCTTTTACTATTGATGTTGTTCATGAAGCCTTAACCAAGCTAGATCCTAAGAAACCGGCTGGCCCGGACAACGTAGAACCTTTCTTTTTAAAGATAGCTGCAGATTTTATTGCTCCACCTCTCACTACTCTTTTTAACCTCTCCCTCAGCACAAATGCAATTCCAAAAATATGGAAGTCAGCGTATGTCCTGCCTTTACTAAAAGGAGGGGAGGCCACTTTATTAAATAATTATAGGCCCATCTCTAAATTGTCAGTTCTGGCTATGGTTCTTGAAAGCCTAGTGAGTGAGCAGGTAAAGGAGTTTTTATGTACATATGACATCCTGTCTAAATCAACCCGGCATCACGGCAAGACGTGAACATGTGACGATTTACCATGCTGGGAGACGTGAAGATCTCACGATTTCGTCCCTTCAAACGTGACAGTTACACGGTATTGTTAACCCATGTTAACCAGTGGAGAAATAACCGGAAATGCCAAGCAAATGCTACCCCGACGGTCGGTTGTTATTGTCAATATTAATATAATAATGATTTATTTTTTAATAGTCACACTCGATTACGGCTATTTTCTTGTTGCCCCAGCTGGTCGACACCTCTTTTAGCAGAAACAAAGGCTACATTAATGTATTAAATCGATGTTAATCCGTGCGTGTGGATGTGGAATTAACGGACGTGACGTTGTGTGATTGCGTTGCCAGGCAACAGCTTCGGTTCATGTTAATTTACAAACTCTTCAAATACAACCGTAGTTATATTTAAAAACATGTTAGAAGGCCTCACAAAATACTTTAATGTAAATTCAAATTTAGATGTGTAGGAATGTGTGTATAACAAAATACATCCGTCATAAACGAAACCGGAAACAGACGTAGGCAAGATCCTCAGCTCGATGATTGGATGGTTTACCCCGCAATGCATGCTGGGATATGGTGTTTATGTGATGTGAAATCCGAAAACATTTAAAAAAAATAAAATAATACTTTATTCCGAGTGTGCTTGCTTTTCTCTTTGAAAGTCATCACATAACGGCATTGTAATACACGGTTCGGCTGCATTAAGTATTACATATCTGCCGTAGTTCTCTATTTATAGAGCCCTGCTGAGAAGACTTCTAGACAAACAGGAGAACTGCCGCCAAAACTGAATACGTGACGTGGATAATAAATATATAAGCAATTAAACAACATCTTACATTTCTTTTCACACAATACGTCTCCTTGCAGTATCAACACTAATTCGGCTGACTTTTATATTTGATCCAATTGGTAGATAGATTGTATTTACACCCTAACGGTCTTTGTTTTTAAGATAAAAAAAGGTATTAATAGGAGGATCGTGACATCTTCACGTCTCCCAGCATGGTAAATTGTCACATGTTCACGTCTTGCCGTGATACCGGGTTGGCCCTAACACCGGGTCATGTGACGCCTCTTTCATCACTAATCACTCTGCTGATAACCAAAGAGCTGGGGGACGCATTGTGTTGGTAACCTGGTAGTTCACGGAGATATATCCTGTCCTTCAATATAATAATATAATCCTTTGCTTTTGCCTTGTTTTTTTATTGTTAAATATAAATATTTGTTTTAATTCTTATACTGTTAGTACTTTTCGTTTTGCAAATTCCTTTGGTTTCCACTAGGAAATATTATAATAACAAAAATATAAAATATAAAAATGACTACATTCAAACAAAATTACACGATAACAAATGTGTAATATTGTATATTCCTTTGGTTTCCACTATGAAATATTATAATAACAAATATAAAAATGACTACATTCAAACAATACTACATGACAAAACATTTATAATAAAAAGTCTTAAAATCAAAGACATAAAACATTTGTAATTGAAGTTATAATCGCAAATTAAAACTAGTAGCAGAAGTGCATTTCCACTCTACTTCCTCTACTCCAGTGTTTCTTCTTGCAGGTAACAAGACTGACAACAATTATAACTTAAACTTTATATGTTCTTTCTGAAAGTAATCCGAGAATGATTGGTTTGTAAGTACAGTAAAACATCCATCCATCCATCCATCTTCTCCCGCTTATCCGTGGTTGGGTCGCGGGGGTAGCAGTTCCAGCAGAGAGCCCCAAACGTTCCTTTCCCCTCATCCACCAGCTCTGACTGGGGGATCCCAAGGCGCTCCCAGGCCAGCGAAGAGATATCATCCCTCCACCTGGTCCTAGGTCTACCCCTTGGTCTCTTCCCAGCTGGACGTGCCTGGAACACCTCCCTAGGGAGGCGCCCAGGTAGCATCCTAACTAGGTGCCCGAACCACCTCAACTGGCTCCTTTCGACGCGAAGGAGGAGCGGTTCAACTCCGAGTCCCTCCCGGATGACCGAACTTCTCACCTTATCCCTAAGTGAGACACCAGCCACCCTGCGGAGAAAACTCATCTCGGCCGCTTGTATCCGCGATCTCGTTTTTTCGGTCATGACCCATCCTTCATGACCATAGGTGAGGGTAGGAACGAAAATGGCCCGGTAGACAGAGAGCTTTGACTTCTGGCTCAGCTACCTTTTCGTCACAACGGTGCGGTAAAGCGACTGCAGTACCGCTCCCGCTGCTCCGATTCTCCGGCCCATCTCACGCTCCATTGTTCCCTCACTCGAGAACAAGACCCTGAGATACTTGAACTCCTTCACTTGGGGTAAGGACTCATTCCCTACTTGGAGTGGACAGTCCATCGGTTTCCTGCTGAGAACCATGGCCTCAGATTTGGAGGTGCTGATCCTCATCCCAGCCGCTTCACACTCGGTTGCGAACCGATCCAGTGAGTGCTGAAGGTCGCAGACCGATGAAGCCATTAGAACCACATCATCTGCCAAAAAGCAGTGGTGCAATCCTTAGTCCACCGAACTGCAGACCCCCTCCCCCATGACTACGCCTCGAAATCCGATCCATGTATATTACAAACAGAATTGGTGACAAAGCGCAGCCCTGGCGGAGGCCAACCCTCACCGGAAATGGGTCCGACTTACTGCCGAGGACCCGGACACAGCTCTCACTTTGGGAGTACAGAGATTGGATGGCCCTGAGTAGAGACCCACTCACCCCATACTCCCGCAGCACCTCCCACAGTAACTCCCTAGGAACTCGGTCATACGCCTGCTCCAAGTCTACAAAACACATGTAGACCGGATAAGCATACTCCCAGGCCGCCTCAAGGATCCTTGCGAGAGTAAAAAGCTGATCCGTTGTTCCACGACCAGGACGGAATCCGCATTGTTCCTCCTCAATCTGAGGTTCGACAATCGGCCTGACCCTCCTTTCGAGTACCTTAGAGTAAAACATAAATCATTTTAATTCTGAAAATGTCTAGAGATCTGACAGCCTTCCTCTTCTACTCCCTGCAGCAACAACAGGCCTCCATGCTCACAACTAACTGATGTCATCACACAGAACAACCACTAGATGGAGACTGAGACATTATGAGACAAAAGTGACTTCTTACTCAAAAGGCAAACAAATACACGAGTCAACACACCTTCATGTGAGGATAATCACTTATACAAGGACATGAAATATAAACAACCTAAGAAAAACTCAACAAAGAGACCCCAGCTACTCTTTGCCAGTTTATCAACAAAGTTCAAGAGTTTATTTCTTTAATAAAATCCTTTAAATAAAGTTCCCTGCACTGTAAGAAGTAGAATTAACTCACAATGTGATCCTCTTTTTATGAACAAACTCAGTTTACAGTTTTATTATAAACATCTAGATACAAATTCATGCTAAATAATACACTAGTCCTGCCATAGATATGGTATCAATGAGGATAGGTTCCAATTAAATAAACTGTTCTGGTTAAAGTATAGCTGAGAGAGTTTCAACATAATAAAGAAAAACATTCTCACATATCTCACTCTCCCCACTGTTAGCACCAACTTTGCTCCATTTGAACCTTTAAAGTAGCTTGTATTTCACAATAACTGTGTGAATCAGAGGGAGGGAACAACCAGCTGCAGTGAGAGGAGCTACAGTGGAAAGAGGAGAGCTTACACGTCACACTCAGGAAACGAAAGTTAAGTTAGTCAGAGAGGCAGCCACACTGCAGTCGAGACTAGTCTCTGTTTCTGTCTACAGAAAATACAAACTGAGTTCATCAGATCTTTCTCAACAACACAGCAGAGTCTCTGTCAAACACTGGTGAGTACATCTGATTATATTTACACTTTCAACTAAATATAATATAAGTATGGTGTTGTTTGTCCTCAGGCCTACGGTTCAGCCCTCTGGATTTAACTAACTTGTAACTGAATATCTGAGGTTAGGAGTTTATCCTCATTCCTGGTTTCCTGCCATTATTACTGTTTACTGATTACTTCCTACATCCTGCTTACTCTTTTTTGTAGAGGTGTGTCATATTAAAAGCTCACCACCAAAGAACCAGTTGGAGGTTTAAAATGTGAGGCAGGTGTGTCACAAAGTACTGAGAGCTTTGTTATCAGTGTTATTCTTTAATATCAGTTGGTCTACACTAGAGGTAAGGTAGTTATCAATATTATATAATTATCTGGATATTAGACTAGATATAGTGTCAGATTTTTCCGTAGTAGTAAAACTGCACAAGTGTAATTTCCTGGTTTTAAAGGCTGCATTACAGTAAAGTGATGTAACTTCCTTAAACTACCAGACTGTTCAAACCATTTTCTTTTTCTGATTATCAAAAATGTTATTTTTTAAATATGTTTTGTCCAAATAGTCAATCTATAATATTGTTAGAGGTGTTGGGTGAAACATTTTGTGATGTTTTATATTCTCCATATCGCCCAGCCCTAGTCTTTACAACAGGATAAGGAAACATCCATTGCTGTTTTGCCATGGTAGCTATCTTGAACCTATTAAGTCTTGAATGTTAACGGTTGCTCAAGCTGGGCTTAGTGCAAATCAAAACAGCATATATTAAATTGTGAAGGCCAATATCAATGCCACTTCTTTCATTTCCTGTAACTGTATTATAAAGACATTGTTTTTCCTTCCACACTACAGGTGTAGGTATGGCTGCTGCAAACTATCTGCCATCTGAAGATCAGTTGCTGTGCTCCATCTGTCTGGATGTGTTCACTGATCTAGTAACAACATCATGTGGACACAACTTCTGCAAAAGCTGCATCACTGAACACTGGGATATAAGTGACAGGTGCCAGTGTCCCATGTGTAAAGAGGCTTTTAATACAAGACCAGATTTGAGGGTCAACACGTTGTTCTCTGAGATGGCCGCTCAGTTCAGACAGTCGGCTCAACAGAAAGCCAGCAGCAGCAGCTCAGAGCAACAAGTCTTCAAACCAGGAGAAGTTCCCTGTGACGTCTGCACTGAAACCAAACTGAAGGCCCTGAAGTCCTGCCTGGTGTGTCTGACCTCCTACTGTGAGACTCACCTGAAGCCTCATCTGACAACGTCAGGTCTGAAAAGACATCAGCTGATCGACCCTGTGGAGAACCTGGAAGACAGGATGTGTCCGAAGCACGATAAACCTCTGGAGCTGTTCTGTAATACCGACCAGACATGTGTCTGTATGCTCTGCCATGTTTCAGACCACAAGATGCATGATGTGGTTCCTCTCAAAGAAGCATATGAAGGGGAGAAGGCAGAGCTTGAGACAGACATTCAGCAGATGATCCAGAAGAGACAACTGAAGATTGAGGAGATCAAACACTCAGTGGACCTCAGTGAGAAAGAAGCAGACAGAGAGATAGCAGAAGGAGTTCAGGTCTTCACTGCTCTGAAGGAGTCTGTTGAGAGAGGCCAGGCCAATCTCATCAACACGATCAAAGAGAAGCAGAAAACAACTGAAAACCAGGCGGAAGATTTCATCAAAGAGCTGGAACAGGAAATCTCTGAGCTGAAGAAGAGAAGCTCTGAGGTGGAGCAGGTCACAGACTCTGAAGACCACCTCCATCTTCTCCAAAGATTCATGTCCCTTAAAGTTGCTCCACCCACCAAGGACTGGACAGAGGTCAGCATCCATTCAACACATGAGGGAACTGTGGTGAGAGCTGTGGTTCAGCTGGAGGAGACTTTCAGTAAAGAGATGAAGAAATTGCTTGAAGCTGAGCTGAAGAGGGTCCAGAAGTACGCAGTGAATGTGACTCTTGATCCCAAAACAGCACATCCTAAACTCATTATGTCTGATGATGGAAAACAAGTGAGTCATGGTGATGTAAAGAAGAATCTCCCAGACAACCAAGAGAGATGTTCTGGTTATATTTGTGTTTTGGGAAAGCAGAGTTTCTCTTCAGGCAGATTTTACTTTGAGGTTCAAGTTAAAGGAAAGACCAGATGGGATTTAGGAGTGGTCAGAGAGTCGATCAACAGGAAGAGAGCATTCCAATTGAGCCCAGAAGATGGTTTCTGGACAATATGGCTGAGAGATGGAAATGAGTACAAAGCTCATGATGCTCCGTCAGTCAGTCTCTCTCTGAAGTCTTGGCCTCAGAAGGTGGGGGTGTTTGTGGATTATGAGGAGGGTCTGGTCTCCTTTTATGACGTAGATGCTGCAGCTCTTATCTACTCCTTCACTGGCTGCTCCTTCAATGAGAAACTCTTCTCATACTTCAACCCAAGTGTGAAAGATGGTGGTAAAAACTCTGCACCTCTGATCATCTCTCCTGTTAGAGTAAACTAATCACTTATCCTATATTGATTTATTTCCATTCAAGGTTATAAACAAACATATTTAGTATCAAAATTGTATAGTTGCCATCTTATTTTCTACACAATCTGTTTACTCTGGCAAATTGATTTACACAAGTCAACATTGTAAATTGCTACATTAATCTTTGTGGAGAATATCTATTTAAACATCTGATGAAGCAACAAACATTAGGTCTTCAATGACATCCACTTAAACACAGACAGTGGCAGAACTTCAGTGTTAGTATTATTAGATCTCAGTGCTGCGTTTGACACTGTTGACCACAACATATTACTAGACCGACTAGAAAACAGGGTGGGACTTTCGGAAACAGTTCTAAATTGGTTTGAATCCTACTTAAAGGACAGAAACAACTTTGTTTCTATAGGTAAATACACATCTGAGTTTACAAATATGACATGTGGGGTTCCTCAAGGCTCCATCTTGGGGCCTCTTCTCTTTAACATCTACATGCTACCACTGGCTCAGACAATGAAAAACAACAAAATAAGTTACCATAGCTATGCGGATGACACACAAATTTACGTAACAATTTCACCAGGAGACTATGCTCCAATTCAAACACTGAGTAAGTGCATGGAACAAATCAATGACTGGATGTGTCAGAACTTTCTCCAATTAAACAAAGATAAAACTGAGGTAATGGTTTTTGGAGCCAAGTCAGAACGTATAAAAGTTAGCGCTGAGCTTCAGTCTGCAATGTTCAAAACAACAGATAAAGCCAGAAATCTAGGTGTAGTCATGGACTCTGACCTGAGTTTCAACAGTCACATTAAAACAGTTACTAAATCAGCCTACTATCACCTAAAGAATATATCTAGGATTAAAAGACTAATGTCACAGCAGGATTTGGAAAAACTTGTCCATGCTTTTATCTTCAGTAGACTCGACTACTGTAATGGTGTCTTCACAGGTCTCACTAAAAAATCTATTAGGAAGCTGCAGCTGATTCAGAACGCTGCTGCTCGAGTCCTCACTAACAATAAGAAAGTGGATCACATCACTCCTGTTCTGAAGTCTTTACACTGGCTTCCTGTGTGTCAAATAATAGATTTCAAAATACTGCTGCTGGTTTATAAAGCACTGAATGGTTTAGGACCTAAGTACATTTCTGACCTCCTGCTAAATTATGAACCATCCAGAACTCTCAGGTATTCAGGGACTGGTCAGCTTTCTGTCCCCAGAGTCAGAACTAAACATGGAGAAGCAGCGTTTAGTTATTATGCTCCAAATATCTGGAACAAACTCCCAGAAACCTGCAGGTCCGCTGCAACTCTGACTACTTTTAAATCCAGGCTGAAGACTTTTCTTGTTGTCACTACTTTTAATTGAACTATTCACATCTTAAACTGCATTGTAACTTTTATCCATGTATTTTTTCTTTTAATGTTTATTTATTATTTTTATTGTTTTTTGTAAAGCACTTTGAATTGCCTTGTGTTGAAAGGTGCTATATAAATAAACTTTCCTTAAATTTGAAAAAAATCTTTGATTAGTTATTTTGTTTTTTCAATAAAATTCGTATCATTTCAAAGTGATAGGTTGCATTTCCAATACCCACATACCTCTGGGATATTCTGCTGTAATAATTTGCAGTGTTACGATGGCATGGTCAGATCTTAATCGGTCACCAATACTACATTTTAATTTAACACCGCATTGAAATCTCCAACTATAATATTTTGGTTATTTTTTAGAGATGAGATAACTTTATGGATATCCTCAAAAAAAGTTTGGATTATCATCATTTGGCCCATAGATATTAATGATATTTGCGTGCAAGTCATCCACTGTCACATCTAACATAATCCACCTTCCATCCTCATCAGTTTGTACAGAATGAACTAAGTGTTGAATTTCTTTTTTAAACATAATCATAACACCCCTGCTATTAGTAGTGCCATGACTGAAATAAATATCTCCACCCATTCTGATTTCAACTCGTTTTCCAAATTAGAATGCGTTTCCTGCACACAAATAATTTGAATATTGTTTTTAATCTTTCAACCAAGTAAAAACTTCATTTATTTTTGTTACGGTGTCCAGGAAGCAGGACCCAAATGCAGATTTAAGTGACAAAATAATTCCTTTATTTCAAGGCTACAATATTCAGAGACAGAACACTCACCGCAGTTTACTCACAACATAAGACGAACCGACACTGAACACAGGAAGAGACAAGACTAAATACAAGAAGGGGTAATCACAAGACGAGACACAGCCGGGCAGGGGAGGAGAAACACAAGGACCACAGGTGAAAACAATCAGACAACTAGACACACCAGGGAAACTAACGACAGGAGGAAAAACACAGGAAGAAGGACCAGACAATATACAAGGATGAAAATACCCATAACCAGACATACAAAACTACAACAGACAGATCCTAACAGTACCCCCCCCCCCCTCAAGGGACGGATCCCAGACGTCCCAAAACAAAACCACAAAAAGTCCAAAACCACAAGCAGGGTGGGTGGAGGGGGTCCGGAGGAGGGACGTATCACTAGGCCACCAGGGTGGGTGGAGGGGGACCGGAGGAGGGACACAAAACTAGGGCCAACAGGATGGGTGGAGGGGGTCTGGAGGACGGGCTTGGGCTGACAGCCCAGGGGCAAGGCAGAGCTTGAAAAGGGGGTTATGGAGGGGCGAAGGCAGTGGCAGGAAGAGTCAGGGGGCCGGGCCCGAGGGCGAGGACCGCGGCTCTCAGGGGGCCGGGCTCGAGGGCGAAGACCGCGGCTCTCAGGGGGCCGGGCTCGAGGGCGAAGACCGCGGCTCTCAGGGGGCCGGGCTCGAGGGCGAAGACCGCGGCTCTCAGGGGGCCGGGCTCGAGGGCGAAGACCGCGGCTCTCAGGAGGCCGGGCAGAACCCGGTGTCGGCCGGACAGGAACCGGCGCTGGTGGGACAGGCCTCGGCAGGATCCCCCACGGAAGAGGACCAGGAGTTGGCAGGACCCCCGCCAGGAGGGCAGTCGGCGGGACCCCCAATGGGACAGGACACCGGATTGGCAGGACCCCCGGCAGGAGAGCAGTCGGCGGAACCTCCAACAGGACAGGACACAGGGTTGACAGGACCCCCGGCAGAAGGGCAGTCGGCGGGACCCCCAACGGGACAGTACACAGGGTTGGCAGGACCCCCGGCAGGAGAGTAGTTCGCGTGAGCTCCAACGGGACTGGACATGGAGCCGGAAGGACCCCCAGCGGAACCTCCATCGGCATAGGACATGGGATTGGCAGGACCCCCGGCAGGAGAGTAGACGGCGGGACCCCCAACGGGACAGGACATGGGATTGGCCGGACCCCCGGCAGGAGAGTAGACGGCGGGACCTCCAACGAGACAGACATGGAGTTAGCAGGACCCCCAGCGGAACCTCCAACTGACCAGGACATTGGGTAGGGACTTGAGACGTGACTCAAGTAGGGACTCGAGAGGAGACTCGAGAGGGGAACTCGAGAGGGGAACCAAGGGGGAACTCGAGAGGGGACTCAAGAGGAGACTCGAGAGGGGAACTAGAGAGGGGACTCCAGAGGGGACTAGAGGAGAGACTAGAGGAGGGACTAGAGAAGGGAACTCGAGAGGGGACTTGAGAGGGGAACTAGAGGAGGGGACTAGAGGAGGGAACTCGAGAGGGGACTCCAGAGGGGACTAGAGGAGAGACTAGAGGAGGGACTAGAGAGGGGAACTCGAGAGGGGACTAGAGGAGGGACTAGAGAGGGGAACTCGAGAGGGGACTAGAGGAGGGACTAGAGAGGGACTAAAGGAGGGAACTCGAGAGGGGACTGGAGAGGGGACTGTGGCAGCTGGGGCCGGGACTGGGGCCGGGACTGGGGCCGGGACTGGGGCCGGGACCATGGCTGCTCGGGCCAGAACTGGGGCTGAAACCATGGCTGCTGGGGACTGTACTAGGTCTGGAACCATGGCCGGAAATATGGCTGTATGATCCAGTTCTGAAGCCGGAAACATGGCTGTATGGGCCGGCTCTGGAGCCGGAATTGAAGCCAGAATCATGGCTGTAAGGTCCGGTTCTGAAGCCGGAAACATGGCTGTAAGGTCCGGTTCTGAAGCCGGAAACATGGCTGTAAGGTCCGGTGCTGGAGCCGGAAACATGGCTGTAAGATCCCGTTCTGAAGCCGGAAACATGGCAGTATGGGCCGGCTCTGGAGCCGGCACCATGGCTGCTAGGACCGGTACCTGAGTACGAGCTGGCTTCCTGACCTTGCGTCTTTTAGAAGTCTTTTGGAGGCTCCGTGGACCTCCAAACGCCAGGCGGGATCCCAAGAAAGGGCCAGAGAATGGAGACTGGCACTCAGGGCTGCGTGAGAAAACTCTGAGAAACTCAGGCAATGAGCCTCTCAACCATGGCATGTTGTCCACCTCCATTTGTGCCTTTTTGAGGACCGCCTCTTTGTCCCTTTTAGCCAGGGTTCTACTCCATTCAGCATAATGACACTGAAGAGTGTACTCTAGGGATAACAAGTCCAAATCAAAATTAAAATCCGCTGGGTCCATTGTTGGTCGGTTCGTAATGTTACGGTGTGCAGGAAGCAGGACCCAAATGCAGATTTAAGTGACAAAATAATTCCTTTATTTCAAGGCTACAATATTCAGAGACAGAACAGAACACTCACCGCAGTTTACTCACAACACAAGACGAACCGACACTGAACACAGGAAGAGACAAGACTAAATACAGGAAGGGGTAATCACAAGACGAGACACAGCCGGGCAGGGGAGGAGAAACACAAGGGCCACAGGTGAAAACAATCAGACAACTAGACACACCAGGGAAACTAACGACAGGAGGAAAAACACAGGAAGAAGGACCAGACAATATACAAGGATGAAAATACCCATAACCAGACATACAAAACTACAACACAGACAGATCCTAACCATTTTTGAGACATTAGCCAAGCCGTTACAGTTATAAGTTGCAATTGTAGTACTAGTACATGTCATGTATCATCTAAAATGCTTGAAAAGGACCCAAAACTGTAAACCTAAAAAACATATAACTACTGACATACACATATATCACAAAAACAATATAACATGCCTGTATTTCATTTGCCATGGAGTTAATTGGCATTGTTGCGGTCACAACCCCTTTCAATGTACTTTCTACATATATATCGAAGAAGAAGAGTTGTGGTTCTTCATTAATACAATATACTTTAAACACCAAAAGTGAAAAGGCATAATATGTAGAATGACCAATTTAAAGACATTATATAAATTAATTATTATTATTGATGTATTAATCTGTTCATGTGTTCTTTCCTTCATTGTT